GTCATATGATGTGTTGATTTGCATATTCAAAACAGTTTTAATATAATGTACTCAACCTTTTGAGAAATATTTATCGAATAATTAAATGCTTTTGTTATCGCTAGATGGACTGGACTTTGCATTTTTCTTTTTATCGAACAATCCTAAAGAACCCACCCAACAACAGAAACGTAACAAAAGCATATTTAAATTTCATTGTAATAACAATGTTAGTGAAAACAACAACAACTGAGGTTTAAACTACAAGTTAATCTTATCACTACTGTTTTCCATTTTTATAATTATTTTACACATTTAATTATTGGGCAACCACTTAACCACAAATAACGTCTGTTCTTAACTGTTGTCATTTTGTATTATATAAGACTTGTGAATGAGAATGAAGTCTAATAAACAGTGTAACTTTACCTTTCCCTTGTCATTAGTGTTATTGTGGTATGCAGACTTACCATCGTTTTTTTTTTTTACCTTCTTATTTTAATTTAGAATTTCTCGTTTAATCTGAGTCTAAGTAGTTTTCGCATAGTGATCTAGAAAACCATTAAATTGACTTTGTAGCTGTAGATAAACATGTGCTGATGGTGGTTTTGTCTTTTTAACATTTTTAACATAACAGCATGATTTAGATTATAAGTAGGGTTACAGTTTTGCTCAATAGTTTTCAGCAACCCCGCAACCTAAGTGTCACAGCATCAGTATTTGTTAGAGTGATTGATTGATTATTGAATTTGTCAGTCAGGGTGTCTGTTACTTCCAGCCAATTCAGCTCTGTGAATGTTGAGTTTGTGTTTTTAAAGTACGAAATGCTTGAGAATTACCATACGTATAAGAGAAAATTACAAAAAAAAACTGAAATTTTTGTGAAATTAGGCCTATCGCTGAATTAAATTTAACTTCTAAACCTGGAGTTTAAGAAATAAGACGTTTTCGTTATCACTAAGTGGACTGCACTTTGCATTCTTCTTCTTCTTTCCTACCGAATCATTTAAAAGAACCCATCCGACAATATAAGTCGTTACAACAATATGAACGTGGCATTCTGATACTCAAACCTTAGCCGTCGAAAGATTTAAAGTGTGATGTAACATGACTGGTAATACAAGAGACACCACTTGTGAGTAACGCAAAAAATGAAAACACACTTTACTGATTAAGACCAGAGTACAAATAAGACAAACGAAGTAATAGATAAAATTACATAGTAACTTAATCCCTGTAAACTGAACTTCGGTAAGGAAAATGAAATTGGACTAAACCCTAGATTTGGTAAAGTGAAGCGGGAACTGATAATGGGGTAAAAACCTTTACTGGCTTAACTGTGTATTAAAAATAAAACGAACCTAAAACAAACTAGATATTGGTTATGGTCAAACTGGAAAACAGAACTCAGAAAAGACATGTAGATATTTTAATTGAAATTATAATGTATGTACATGCATAGTTTATTTGAATTATGTCTGGTTTTGTTTCGAATGGTTTGCTGTGTATTGTAAGTTGAACATATTGATGTTGATCAGTGTAAAAAAGGTTTAACTTTGCCTTGCTTTTTACTTCTGTAAAGTATTTTATTTTAAAATGAATTGATTCTGTCATTATTGTAAAGGGTTTAATTTTACGTATGTATGTTAGTTGTAAAGAAATTTATATTCATTGCAAGTAATGTATCATTGTTAAAGAGTTTCATTTTGTATTGTTTCATTGTCTGTTATGGTTTCATGCATGAATGTTTATCCTTTTTTTAAAGGATTTATATTGTCATGTTGTGTTATGTATTGAAATTTGATTTTATATATTCTGTGTTATGTTAAATTCTTGTTATGATTTTGGTACTTACTGTTTAATTAATTTAAATGCGAGTTCTTTGCTTAAAAGGTGTTTTTAATATATCCAATGAACTGTATTTCATTGTTAAACGGCGTATTGTGATTTTATTTTATCAATGTTTAAGGATTTGCATTGTGATATTGTGTTGTACGTTGAAATATAACTTTTGTATTCTCTATTGTGTTATTTCTTAATCTGATTGTACATTATTGTTAAAGGGTTTGTGATTATGTGTTAATTTTCACTGTTTAATGGTTTCTCAATGAGTGTTGAATCATTATTAACGGGCATTCTTATCATGTGAACGTATGGTAGATAATGTGGGACAAGTCAGTTCGAAGGACGATACACAACTTATGATCCATTTGAAACGACAGTCCATATCGTACACACTGTGTTTTGTGCCTTTGATTTAATAAAAATTGTTCTCTGTGTTTACATTGTGTCCACGTTCTT